GACATCTCAGCTAGTCTTTTATCTGCTAGTTGCTCCTTAAAAACATTCAGCATATACGTTTTACCTGATATATGTCATAACACCTTTACTTTATGGTCTTTTCGATGAAGTTTCTAGATTACAAACGGCCTTGTATCTCTGCTCTACTATGGTTCAAATGAACCTTTGGTGGAAATTTTGCCAAAGCAATATTTTTTGGCATTTCATAACGAACATTGTAACGACATTTTTATGCTCAGACATTATATGTGGTGGAGGAAATATGTAATTTGAGAGCACGGGACACGCAAAATTGCAAACCTTTCTAATGGAAATTCCAAAACGGCACAGAATTGATACCCACAGGTATGAATGAGATGTTTGCTAGGTGACTCATTTGCTGTTGTCTTTGTCGAACGAAGCATTCGTCAACAATGTAATGATATGACTTATGAGTGCGTTTCAATAGCGATCCGACAACTGTTGCAAGTATCTATCGATTCCACTCTCATGCTTCACACATTTCTGCTCATCTGGCTTGCTGTTCAGACGTTCCAGCCGGTAACAGCTTATAATCTCGTTATAGACGTAAGTTGCGGTTGAAATTGAACTCTTGACCCCCTGCCTAGCATCCTTACTTCAGACCCAGCGAAAAGGAATCAACTCATACTTCCAAAGTCTTCGAAAGGATTATGAACATTTACTGGAAGGCTACGAAATACCCACAGTTAGCAAGAAACGATTTCTGGGTAAGATAGAACTTACCGAAATCACCGTACAAAATGTGGCCGTGGAATCAACCACAGATATTGTAGCAGAAACTGATCATTACTTGAAGGTGAGTAGCTGTTGTTGTCCTTAGCGTGCATTCACATCATTATTCTTTTCTCTTTTCACATCAGTAATGGCCCTGAGGACATTAAACCTTTTCTCCGCTGTTTCAAGGCTTTATTATTCACTGTAATTTTAAGAACAGATTTTGCAAAAGCAGTTGCTTCTTCGGATTTTCTTCCACTTCTGGTTAAGAATGCATATATTGCTTCATTTTATATCATTTTCCATTTTGAATCAAACTTGCACAGCTAATCTCCGAAATCTCTTTATTTTCATTTCTTCGATATGAAGTTTCTAAAAAGGATAACAACAGACTCTATCAAGCAAACAATCACTTTGAGTGAATTGCGTTGGGAAAGAGTATTTTATAATGTAAGTATATACGTAGAGTTGATCTATGCTTTTCTTGGCTCGTGTTCATCATACTATAATTTTCGATCGAGAGCAGTAACTTGCCTACTCCTCGAGTTTGTTTACGAGTCCTTATCGGTTACTTTCTCGATTGAATTCCATCCATTGCAATCGCTCCAATCGTTTCATCCCATTTGTTTAAACAATCATTTTTTCATTGGCTATAGTATTGTACTAGCGGCAATTCGAGTGTCAGGATAACATTATGAGTGAACATTTCAAGCGTTCGAAGCTGTAAGTGAACCGCAGTCGCAGAATTGTTGGTAAAGGTTAAGGTCTTTGTAATAGTGTAACTTGAAAAATAGGAGACATAAGGCTTTTTTAAGAGTCCACGCAATTATTTTTGTTCATAAAAACAACACAAATGCAATGTTCCTCTCCAAAAGTTAGTGCATACGGCATCGGTGCTTCTCTACAACTCAGAGATTATCTTCCTTCGCGGTTTGGTGGCCTTGCGCCCCTTCGCCTAGTGCTCGGCTGCCGCACTTCAGCTCATTCTCCATAGGACTTCCGAATTTCTGGTGATCTCTT